AACTACAGCTGGCATTTCAGCCAATATGTTCATGTAAGGCAATTTTCTGGTCTTTTCTTCAAAAATAAATAAATAAATGTTTTAAAACTCAGATAATGTTGTTTTCTCTTTTCTGTTGTGACTACTGTTATGAAAAAGTATAATATTTTTAATTTTGTAAATCTAAGAGTACGAAATGAAAAGCAGGAATTACAGTATTCCCTGTAAATAACACAGTCTAATACTGTAAAAATAAGTTATATAACAGTATAATACTGTATTTGGTAATTACAGTACAGAACTGTAAATGTTGTTTACAGTAGTAGTCCTGTAAAAATACAGTATGTGGCTGGCAACCCAGCTACCAGTATTTTACTGTAAATTTACAACGAAAAGTTTTACAGTGTATGTAATTAAAAAAATAATAAATAAATAAAATTGTGAGCTGCTCACTAAGAGTCAATTCTATTAACTTCCTGCAGTCATTTGATTTGGAAATTTGCCACTGTAAATGTGCTGTAAACGACAGAAGTACAGACCAGAGTAGAGAAAAAAAAAACTAAAACTAGCCAATCAGAAATGATTTGTGCTTGTAAATCATTTTGTGTGCTGAAAACGGGTTGGCTGACATGTCTTCGTAGGGCGGGGCTTTGGAGAAATTGTGTGTGGGTAAAGTTAACAAAATGCTGAAGGTTAGCAAAATGACTGAAATTGCTTACAGCACCTTTAATTAACAAAACAGTACACATAGTGACATAATAATCAGTTTCTTAATGCTGATATTGTGCAGGTTATGTCTTTTACTTTATTGGTGGTGCTTTCGCTCAAGTTGTCACATTTGGTTTTCTTGGCAAATAAGTCATGCAAATTATGCTGTAAAGGTATAAAACTTTAATGCAACTAAATGATACTTAGAGTTCACTGATTTTTGTAGCCAAACATTATAAAATCATGAAAGACAATAAAGTGTGAGCGACTCTTAAATACAAACGTGCTCTCAGAAGCAACAGGGAATTGCATCATCACAAAGACTTTGTCCCCATTAAAAAATGCAAAGTCTTGTTAATTTGTAGCTTTTTCTATTTGGTACATGAATAGCACCTCACCTCTTCCCCTTCCTCAATGTGATAATCCTTCCTTACGTTTGGACCACCAACATACATAATATTCAGTTGATAAAAGAACCTAAAACACAATGTAAAAACAAGGCTTATTTTTTTTGTAAATGTGAATATATAATGGCATATTTTTGCTTGTTTATAAAAGATAATTTTAACTCACTTACATTAATTTGTTGCATACAGGAGGTAGGAATGAACTCTCATTCTGAGCAATCCACTTGTCAATGTTAACATGAAGAGACTGGTTGGTCATTTTTCTCTAATTTGAGAATACAGCAAGATGCTTGCAATAATCTGTCTGAGTAGGCAACAACGTTCTGAGCGGTGGTTTTTCCATCAGGGAATTTGCGACAAACTACCTTTGAGTTATTGAATAATGGGGGCGGTGCTTATGCATGCAGAATGTGACCGTGAGGTTGAAATCCATGTTTACGCAGCAGTAACCTATCAGTGCTGACACCGCAGCATAAACCTGCATTTCAGTATCAAGACCATTGATTTACAAGGTTTTGTGTGGAATAAGTTCTGCATTTGCATTTAATTGACTCAGTACTGATGGTCCAGCGGGTTCATGACCTGCTTCACCGGTCCTCTGGAACCATATTTGGTTAAATACATTGAAGCCCTGAGATAAACTTAATAATAAAATAAAGTTTTGATTCTGGGCCTAAGATGCCCACTACCACCATTCAATAAACCAAAACTAAATTCATATTGTATGACATTTAGAATGCAAAACTAATTCATTTATTATGAAAAACGTCCATCATCTGTTCGTCAAAACATATTTAAATACCAGCATTCAAACATTATAGATATTAAGTGATTTTAAAGGTTGTATGTCAAAATCAAACAAAATGTTGGCACAAATTCATTTTGTCCCTTTGTAAAAGCTGGCTAAATTAATGCAGGATAAATGAGATGCTTTCGTCCTCAAAACCATGAACAAAACTAAAGAATGAATGAATGACTGAATGAATGAATGAATATGTAAGTAAATCAATTAATTAAATAAATGTTAGAGGTTCTGCAGAAAGATTGCAGAAGTTTTTGTACTTTTTGTTTGGAACATCAAAGCAAAAAACATGGACATTTGTGAGAATGTAGCAAGCAATTGAGTCTATGGCTGCAGCAACTCCTGAACTATTTCATCCCATAGCTTGTCTTGGTGGAGTTTAATGAGTTGTTTAAAACAATTTCCTTACTATCAAAATATAATAAATAAAAAAAACAATGGCTCATAAAGCAGGAGACACATTCGATATGGAAAGGTGAAATTGAAACTAACTCTCCCTCAGCAACCTTAACCTCTTGTAAACAGAAACTGTTGTAGTATCCAGATTCGAACTGTTTAAATCAATAAAATGAATTGTGGTAGCATTTGTGAATGCCAGTACCATGTGTTATTGCTTTAATGCATTATTAATTATTCAGAGTTGACAAATATTTAATTATTTTCTTTCTGTGTTAAACGTTGAATAAAAGGGATGTATTTTCATAATTCGCTTCCTACAGTAGTTCTGTAAATTTCCACTGAAATACATAATTTTATTCATAAGCAAACCTTATACATATATAAATTTGTTGTTCAAATATTGCAATTGTGACCACAATGTCAAAATTATATGTTTGAAATTCAAAAACTTACCAGACTGAGAGCTAAATGTAAAGTGCCGAATACAAAAAGGAAGTGAAAGTGAGATGTGGCCAAGTATGGAAAACCATACTCCGAATTTGTGCTCTGCATTTAACCCATCCAGTGAGTAGTGAACACACACACACATCCAGTGAGTAGTGAACACACACTAACATAAAAGTAATTTGCAGAGAATGCATGCATATATTTTGACAGTCTTATATCAAACCGTGCATGTGCTTTGCTAGCAGAAAATAGATTAAACCAGAAATGCAAAGTACAGATCTTAGATAAAAGATTTTAAGCTGGAAGTGCACACAGAGAGTGACAGTGTAAAAACACAAAAGTGACTTCTGCCAAGAGCAACACAAACAAATGAAGCTTCACACCACTTTTTATTTATTTATTTATATACTTTGTTTCATTATCTGCTAAATATACTGTAACGGGGTGAAGAATCACACAAGTAATCAATACCCCAAAGGGTGGATTTATTGGGGTGATGGGTGTTAGTGAGAAAGGTCCAGGTAGGTGCTCCGGTGCCGTGAGTGCTCTCTTCCGTCTTCCCAGTGCAGAGGGTCCGTGCAGTGCTCCTGTGGGGCTGGTCGGTCACACGCGGCTTTCTGTGGGAAAAATGAGAGGGCGAGTTAGTGCTCAGTCTCATGGAGGAATCTCCTAGATGGCAGGGCTTGCGTGGCTTATGTAGCCGCCGCCTGATGAGGTGCAGCTGTGACCGATCAGCCTGTGATGATGATGGCCAGGTGCTCCTCGCTTGTTTCCAGGGCGACGCTGATGAAGTTTCGGGACGCTCGTCACAATACTAACATACAGTACAAGCTGTCTGAAAAACACACATTTGTAATTGTCACTTCACTGTATGGATCTCATGTGCATCTGAACACTTTAGCTGTTGAACAGATTTGATGGCCTTGTCACTATGACTTTTCTGTAAATTGAGAGGATAACCGCTTCTCCATTTGCCACAAGTGGGCATCTCTTTAGCTTCCCTGGGATCTCTAAATGGCTTATGGATATTGAGCCATTGAGAAAAGTGAGAGGTTTCAAACAGAAGTGTAGGTCATGCAAAGTCAGATGAAGTGTGAATCATACAAAACCCAACTAAAATTTTAAAGAAATAGCTTGCTCTTTGACCAACACATACTTTTCACATTGTCACAATTTATTCAGTTGTATTACTTTATCTCAGTGTTTATGCACTGCTCTAAATACTTTCAGGATTATTAGGATCCCTCCTGAAACCTGAGAGTATACAAATATGAAAAAAAAGCAAGAAACGAAACAAAAAATAGAGATGCTGGTAACACACACAAAAAGAGATGTGTTTATATTAGAAAAAAATGAGGAAGTCAGTTAAAACAGGAAGAGAACATGTTTTTTTTTTTGTTTTTTTTAGAATGGCTACAAAAATAAATATGCACACAAGATAAATGGGACATTAATTCAGAGTTTCGAACAATAGCTGCAGTTTCAGAATGCAGGGTGTCTGGTGGAAGAGAAGGGGTGTGCGTTCTGTTGTCATGTTATTTCATCACTTCAGCTTATATGCAATGCACCATCACCCTGACAACTTTTCTACCCCATTATTTACTGACTGCCTCTTTCGCTTTTATATATAAAACACTATACATTCCTTCACTGATTTTAGAAGTAAAACTAGAGACATGGGTTTCAGAAATGGTTGTGCTTTTAATTTATTTAAATATTCATTTAAAATCGGTCGATAGTTTGATGAATATCTCTTTCTCTGGGGAAATTGTGCTGTTTTTATCAATGCAGATATGTGGGCCATTCTGTAAATCTGGACCAATGCAATTTACATTGCTAAAATAACTTCATGGTAGGTACAACCTGAAGAATCCATTTAGGCCATTCAAGCAATCCCAGAAGACATTTTCGACATTTTCCAGACAGTGAATGTAGACATGTACACTACAATTGTTGGGTTTGACACACTGTTCAAAAAGTAAACAGGGCTGTATTAAAATGTAAGGCAGGGATGTGTTCTGATGGGCAGTGCATATTTTCTCATAAAATACCTTATGTGACACTTATGTGCCACAAGTTACAGTATTTCCCAAGAATCACTCCTATTTTTCACCCAGTTAGCAGTAGCAGTGGTTGCAAACACTGGTGAGAAACGTTTCACATGAAGGAACTAGAGAGGGAGCTATAGAGTAGGCTATACCTATAGCCTAGTACTACAGTTTTTCTCGATTGCTAACCCACTATAACTGATTAGTTTGGCCCAATTTTCCAAACCATTCATACAGTTCTCGAAACAAAGCCACATTTCTCAAAACTTTTAACACATTTCACCTGTTTTCACACACATTCCAATTTGCTCAGTGTTTTCTGCAAAACCCTACACAAGAATGGCATCATTTTGCACAGGTTTACCCATGTTCTCATGTAAAAAAAAACACAAACACACAATATAACTACCTCAATAATCACAAAAAGAAACACAAATAGCACACATTTATCCATGTGTGAACATTCAGTAGCAAAACACAGGTCAGAATCTCAGGATGATATGCACAGGAGCACAAGTGATTATGCGTTTTGAAAAATGAATCCTGGTAGTGGGAGACAAAGAGGAATAGGAGGAGAAAAGAAAAATGAAGGGGACGAGGTCAAAGGTCATTTATTGCTAATGAAATATAAAGCACTATAGTTGAACGTGTTCTTGCGCATGGAATGATCATAAGGAAAGCTGGCCTGCAGGCTCATCTACAGGGTTTTTACACTACTTACACATTACAGTTACAGTACATAGTAGCAGTTCTTCAGATGAGAGAACTTTCACTGTTCTTTGTACTGTAAATACTGTAGCACATACCCTCAAACTGATAACTGTTGAATTGAGTTGTAGCCGAGTACTTCTTACATGTACTGTATTTGTGCAGAACTGAGAGTCGACTGTCTAGGGGAGGCAGAGAAAGTATTTTTGTCAGACGACTAAGAAACTGTTATAGTATAACAAATAAGGATATTAGCAATACTGTAATGCAACTTGGGAGAGGATGCTGAATTCATTTATTTATTTATTTACAGTAACTGACAGTATATTCCAATGTGTGTTTACTGTATATTCTGTTGTTTGGTTTTTGTACTTTTCTCTTCTAGTGCTTTTCATCTACTGTACGATCACTTTACAGTAGTGTAATGAAAGTAAACCAGTGGTGGCGAACTCCGGTCCTGGAGAGCCGCAGCCCTGCAGAGTTCAGCTCCAACCCTAATTAAAACTCACCTGCCTGTAGCTTCCTAGTAACTGTTCAGACCTTGATTAGCTTGTTCAGGTGTGTTTGATTAGGGTTGAAGCAAAACTTACATGTACTGTATTTGTGCAGAACTGAGAGTCGACTGTCTAGGGGAGGCAGAGAAAGTATTTTTGTCAGACGACTAAGAAACTGTTATAGTATAACAAATAAGGATATTAGCAATACTGTAATGCAACTTGGGAGAGGATGCTGAATTCATTTATTTATTTATTTACAGTAACTGACAGTATATTCCAATGTGTGTTTACTGTATATTCTGTTGTTTGGTTTTTGTACTTTTCTCTTCTAGTGCTTTTCATCTACTGTACGATCACTTTACAGTAGTGTAATGAAAGTAAACCAGTGGTGGCGAACTCCGGTCCTGGAGAGCCGCAGCCCTGCAGAGTTCAGCTCCAACCCTAATTAA